TATCTACAATATTCAATATAGGGGTTTTGCACAAATGAGCTTTTTCAAATTCCATTTTATACAGAATCTTACCAACTCATCGTCATTGGGTAATGCCAACCCAGTTCCTCCTGAGCCCAACCTTTGGTGCATCAAACGCTGTGATGGTGGACAAAAAACATCTATCAATAGTAAGTCGCAGCTTGCACATTTTGTATGAGACAAAAGCAAATCGTTTGTAGGACAAAATAAGGGTTACCTGCTTACGCAAACTTTCTACTTGAGAGGCTAAATATAAACGCGATTTGAAAGTGATAAAGTAACTGGAACTTAGGACTCACCAATCCACGGTGCAATGCGGTCCGCAGCAGAAGGGATAGTACGCAAAGATTTCGTGAAGGAAACAAATGCTGAGAATACATAGTAGAGGCTGAAAAAATAATATTATAAAAGGAATCGCAGCAGAGATTTTCGAAATCCTTTATGGCGCTTACTGCCTCTAATATATAAACTCTGCCGAAGTGCAGCGTAAAGGTCTGAAATCGATTCCCGTACTAAAAATTTCAGATTTCCAACGTCCATCTTCGGAACAAAGTTTGCAAAAAGAGGTTTATATATTACGATGTAAAAAGAGGACATTTAAAAGCTCAAAAGTTGAACACTTTGTCACGACCATTGTCACTGCATCAGGCCCACTGAAAAGAAAACAATGACTCAATAGGTGGAGTGTGTTTTACAGAAAGCTTTGATGAGCGATTTTCGCGGCCTTCCCGTCGGCTCAAAAACTCTTAGAATGTGCTGGTTTTCAAAAAAAACTTTGAGCTAGATTTAAGGTAATGCAAGGAATGAAAAATTGGAAAGAAAAAGAGTTTACTTTTCTCCCACTCACTGGAAAGGTTATTAGTACTGAGGATTCCCACACATAAAGACAATTTTTGCATATGCATATATTCATTTATCAATTCCGTACAATTTCCTGTTCTTAACCGGTAAGACACAATAATTGCACACAACTGTCAGAGGGAGGATAACATATTCTACAAATACAAAAATGTTTGCTTTCGTAGACTAATTAGTTTGCAAACTTTTTAAAATAATTGCAGAAATGTGTCAAGATATATGTTGCGAATATAACATAAAAAATAGAAGTCAGAATGAACACCTAATTAGAAACAATTTCACTGAGCCAATCTCCATCAAACTTTTAGGCTTGCTTCAACATTTTCTACTGCAGTGCCCTCTTCAGTTTGACTAGAGCTAATTCTTCAACACCTCTGCTTTGTAGGAATGGTAAACTTGTGAAATTGCACTGCTTTTGTACATGCATTCAAGGAGTAGTAAAACGCTTACGAATAATAGAAAATACTTGAAAACGCCAAAGGCTTGTAAAGAGGAGGTTCCTTTGGTTGAGCGTTTTTCGTCAGTTTCTTCTCATAAAGCTTTATGTTGCTTACGTATAAATGGGTTGCACGACCAGAACTAACATCGAACTATTATGAATTCTTTTCACATTCTAATCGCATTCGCATTAGCTCTTGGACAAAGGTGAGCCCATCTGATTATGCGTTTTTGCAATTGAGTTGTGGACTTCAGGGGAAAGTCTTTAGCCGGTTATTTAGTTTAGTAGAATAAGATGATATAATTGCAGGTCCGATGCAAGTTTTCCATACACATATCCAGGCAAGCTCCAACTCCTATAGAATAACAAATGAAAAAAATACAAATATTTTGAGAAGCAGTAACGACAAAAACAGCAATGCTCACATCACTTCTGCATATTAAACTCTTATTCCTTCAATCATATCTTGACAGTTCATCTAATCATAGCTAATCAACATACCACTCAATCTGACCTATGTTATCTTTTATACTCATCTTATTTCAAAGATTTCAAAACAAACATTATTATTAGCACATTGTAATAGAGAAACTGATGTGAAAATAAGCAGATGTATAAATTCCAGTGTACTCGTCATATTTGGCGCCCTACACCCACGCCTTCGCTGCTCCTTTAGTGCATGCTGCTCCCGCATATTACCCATATCTGGTAAATTGTGTAAAACTCTCTTCTTTCCCCTCCTACCAAATGAAAATGATTGGTCTCACAATTGCTATTTTCAACTGTGTAAACTTTTCTAGGGTTACCATCATTACCACCCTCATCAAGAGCTTCACAATGTCGCAGGAGCTATGCAACGGGGTAAGAAACTTTGTTAAACTCCACTTTAAGAAAGAAGTAAAATGTTTTGCTTGACAAATGATTTTCGATGCTAATTTTTTTGTTACAGAATCTGGAATGTTGACAGATGTCGCTCTTCGTTTCCCTGTAAGAGCGATGCGTAAGAGCTAATTTGCGCAGAACGATAATACAAAGTCATTTGTACGGAATGATGGATGCTGTATTGAATATATAACTGAAATAAAATATTTCTACCAGTTAGTGGTGTTTCATTTACAAACTCAAGTTCTAAATCAAAATGCAGAACAGTAATTACTACCTATTTCATTTCTGGAAGCATAGTTGAGCATTGAAAGAAAATTTTTTAGTAGAAAAATTAAGTTAAAACTGTGAAC